TGCAAGTTGTGATAAAAAGCGGATTTTCAAGTTAGATTTCCTTTTAGTTGAATATCGACATATTTTCAGGTGAAGTAAGCGAAAAAACTTTCATGCAAATATTAGTAGTGTTTTAAATGTTCTCTAGTGCGTTCAGTTCAGAGTTGTCGACTTGATTTAAGACGTTGGGGTGCAAGTTATGTTTCAAACGCGCAAAGACCGCATTACGAAGGGCACGAGCGTGACGATGTTGTAGCCCATAGAAAGGAATTTGTTAATTAATTTTTAAATCGTCAAAATGATTATTATGCGTTTACAAATGATAACGTACCACAATGGACACTACCAACAAGCGGCGACCCTGCCATATTAATTTGTATGTGAAATAAGGTCTAGCTTTCCTTGAAATTTGCTGTAAGGACTATTTTTTTTCTTAAGGCCATGACGAATCGACATTTCGAAGTTCTGAAATTAGTGCAAAAAGGTGGATCATAAATGACAACGCGCCGTTTTACTGTAAAGGCAGGGGGCGAAGCTGCATGGTTTCCAATTTCCTTATAATGCATGATAGTGGTCCGTTCTTTCGTTTATCTAATATTGAATTTCAAGAAACTATCAAAGAATACCCAAGCTTACAACAGGATACGAAAGTTAATTACGTAAAGAATTCAGCCACAGGAAGCATTAATGTCGGCGAAGATAATTATTTTAACAACATAATGATTCTAAGACTAAGATCATCGTTTGGAAATATTGAGGGATAATGCGCGAACACACAACGTTAAAGATTATTCTATTAATGATTTCGGGAAAGGGTCAGGAACCAGGTGTCCAGTACAAATGATTGAATACACTGATCAAAATAATGTTAAACAAACATTAAATTGTTTTTTTACCTCAGGTCCAATGAAAGGACAAAGTAAAGGTCTTTTTGTTCTAGCAAAAGAGCTAGGTTTAAACGTACCACAAAAATGTAAATTACAAGAATTAAAGTCAATCTTATCGTCACATTCGGCGTTTAAAAATGTATGTTATAATCTAGCATACTGTCCATTGAAGAAACTTAAAGCTTTCTTTATCTTTTTCTTTATTTTAAGGTTACGAAGCTCGAAAAGCTGGCTGCTACATATAATGTGAAAATAATCTTTACTCCCAAGTACCATTGTGAATGTAACGCGTTCGAGGGAGTGTGGTATAGTTTAAAACAGTACGTAGAAAACACAATGATCAAATTTTTCGTCGCATGACTAGTTTGATATCGGAATCAAGAATCAAGTTCATTGAGAAAGAAACTTATAAGAAATTATTTCGACGATTCTGGAAAACTTTAAAAGCGTATCAGGATGGAAAAGATTATAAAGAAGTTCTATGTATGTTTTATAGTAGCTTATGTAAACGTACAATAATCAGTCACAGGAAAATAACCAATACTAATATTAATAATTAAAATAAACTTTGTCTTAGCAAAAGTTTCTAGAGATCCTCTGAAAGACCTCCAAAGGTTCTGAAAATGTCGTCATCGAATTCAGTATCAAATTTTATCTATTTGAACATCATTTCACGATGTTTGATTGAAAAATGACCTTCCCGTTTGGGTTAGGTTTATAGAAAAAGCCCTATTTCTCAACAATAAACAGGAATTTTTAAAATAACTCTACATTAGTTTATGGTACTTTTGACGGCGAATCGAACGGTATAAAGGACTTGGCTTCATCTCTTAACGGAAAATACTAGATAGGTTTGTAAAAGTAGCTACCGGTTTTTAAGATATCTGTGAACGTAAATTTCTTTATTAATCACACTATATTTGATCGAGTTCTAAATAACATTTCTACACCCATTTTCATACGCTGAACAAGGAAAAAATAACGGAAGTCTTTCAAAATGAAAGGAGAAAACAAACACAATTTTTTTCATAATGCATTCATTTTTCTCAAAATTAAGACTCTCCAAGTATTTTCAAAATTTTTTAGCCAAAACTCCGTGTACCGGGTGCGGCAAAATAAATGGCCCTTTTAATGTTTCATCAATATCTCTTTTAATTTTCATCGTACAGACTTTGACTTCTTTTAAAAGATTTCTCGCTCAGTTCTCTACAAAATCGTATGAAAAGGGCTCATGCAAAACAGAACTGTGGGATCATATGCGATCAACACTAGTATGATTTTGAAATGGCAGTGTTTCAAACGCAAGTTTTCCCAAAATGAATTCTCTCTCCTTTGCTGGCTAAAAAGGAACCATACCACTCTGATGCAAGTTTTTCTATATTTTCGAGTGTGATTAGAGGACAGATAGACACACTAATCTGCGTTTTAACATACGGGAGTAGTGAGCGCTAATGAGAACTATGGGGAATCAGAAAACGGCTATGAGCGACCTCCACGTGTTACAGACGTCAGATAGTACGATTCATTTGCTATGAGTTGTTTTGAACGAATAAGAAAATTTCATTTATTAAAATATTCATAAATTATGCTGATCATGATTTTTCGAATTCAATAAAATTAACACCAGCAGTATATTTGAAAATAACATATCAACCAAGACGTTGTCGTAGTGTAGATCACCTTCCCAAAAAAATCTACTGGTTAAAACAGATAGTTCTAGAGCAGTCGCTGAATCTTGACCTCCAAAATTAAAACTACATAGCTTATAACACCTAATTACTATAGTAAGATATACATCAGTTGGCGACTTCTTTGGAGGAATAATTGAAAGAGCGAAAACTGAAGCAATTGTTCAGTTTAGACTGAAGCTAATCAAAGTCATCATATACATTATCCAAACATCGGGAAAACTTCATATTCGTCCATATTCAGACACCTTTTATAAATCAACTAGTCAGATGCACATTAACCATCTTCAACATATTAGAGAAAATTCTTTTAATTGGGAAATCAGTATACATAATTACGTTAGATAATGGTCCCTAGAGATCAAATCTTATAAGAATCTTATAATGCAGTCGATGGAAACGCGTAATTTATTCCCTTGACTGAAAGTCTTGGGTCATACAAACGAAATGTCCGTCCGTCCGTCCGTGTAGAATAGTAGAGTAGTGACACCTGACGCCACTTGAACGTAAATTAGCGACATATTGACATTCGAGGAGGAAAAACGCATAATTACTACTTTTCTCAACAGCAGGACATCCTAGATCTGCGAGCCCTGAATAAAAAGTGTCAGAGATTTAATTTCACATATTTTATCTGCTGGCATCAGTTTGCTTAATTAGCGAGAAAAACGCTAATTTTTGATAATTAACCCTTTTCACCGTGAAGCAAGCATTTCACAAATCTGGCTCTCGAACCGAAAATGTTCGAAACTAAATTTTACATATTTTATCTACTGGCACCAACTTCGTGGCGATCTGCAATCACGGACTGTTGGATATGCGTTATGTGGCGTTGGTTTAGTGGTTTTTTGTGCATTTTCCATGTTTTACCCATTGGGACTTTTTTTTCGTAATTTGATCCAATCAGGGTTTGAGTTTTGTTGAACTTGGCGATTGTGTGTGGGTTTGACGCACAGGTTGGTGGGCATGTTGCTGTGTATCGGGTTTAGTTGTCAGAGTGTATTATTGGTATTACTGTTGTGGTGCAAGCGGTTGCTTTGGTGCGACACCTGGCGTTACGCGTTGGTGTCGTTTTTCGTAGTTGTATTTTCCGTACTAGCGTGCTTTGTAGTTTTGAGTGATTGTTCTTTCTAAAGTGTCGGTAGCTGTATTCTGCTGCTGGGATGCAGAATCGTGTATAGTGTACGGAGGTTTTGGTAGTTTTATTCAACCGTACCGAGGACAACAAAATTCATTTTCTGTAAGATGCGAATTTCGCTCATCGTACGTGTCGAGTTCGTTAGCACCAGGATCTTTCAGTCAAGGGTTAGTGAATCGAAGATGAGCGTTACTTGTGTATAAGAATCTTATATAAGAAACTGATAAGATTTCTATAAGATTCTGATAAGAATCTTATATTAAGGATATAGTACGATTTCATCACGTTCTTTAGTGGTCAGTACTCTATATTCATTCTATTTT